TGAATCTAGACGTTTTTTTCTGTATATATTGAACCTGATTTTCTTCCTAATTGAGTTATTATAAGACAACTTTGTCAAAATTCAAGTAAGTACAGTTCCATTCTGTGACTGAACGTGAGAATGCACTAAACACACAAGAAAATTGTGTTTACTTGATCCTATATTTTCTTTTATCTAATAGAATATCTCTGATACATTAGTCTTGGAAATAATTGATATATTCGTATTTATTTTACATCAATATTCTTGATTACATAGTGTGGAAACAAAAATGAGATATCAAAATCATTTGTTTATTTCTTCTTTACTCAAATAACGAGATTACTTTTTTCATTACAACATAAGTTTGAACTTGATGAATATGTAACATCATTTTTTTCATCCTTTCATGCAACTTTGTTTTTACATATGGGTACATCTTCGCAATGACAAAATACGCATTTACTGTTCTAAACGTAATAATTGTCTGTGTTCATAATAATAGATTATGAACCTTTCATCATGGTACAATAAACTAAATGAAAAAAAAACACAATTATAAAACACGACTTGGATGAATGAGGAGATATAGACTATATTAAGATCTCTGAAGCTTGTAGAACTCATTAAAATATTGCACTTGAATAAATCAGAGAGTTTATTTATTCAACGTCACACTAGTTATATAAGCTTTTCTCAAAACTATAACCACAACCAGCAGCAATGTCATTTGACAATAACTCAATGACAACAAACATCGAATCATGGTTTATTCCTTTCGATATTGTTATGATTGTGTGTAGTGTTTTTGCCGTTATCCTAGCTATGTTATTTTTAATCATTATTATTCTTGATAAAACATGTCATACAGTATCAATGATGCTCGTTGCAAATTCATGTTTAGCTGAACTCGCTTTTGGAAGTATTTCAATCAGTATGGCTATATTTACACTTCAAAATGATATTAAACAAATTCAATATCAAGATTCACTTTGTGTTTTTCGAGGTTTCATGGGTTATGTCGTGGCTGCTCTACAGTTTTATTCTTTTTTACTTCAAGCTATCTACCGATATATCATAGTAATTTATCCCACTCGTCTATTTTGGCAATCAACTCGATTTCAAGTTTTACTTATGAGTATTACATGGATATTTGGCTTTGTCTGTCCACTACCACATATACTCACTCATGCAATCACATACAATGTTGATAATCAATTCTGTCAAATGCCTCTTCGACTGTCTTTTTTAACAGTTTACAACGCACTTTTTGTCTGTGTGGTTCCCGTGTCTCTCACAATGTTAATCTATTTTAGATTGGTTCGATATGTGAGAGAAATGAGTAGACATATAATATCTGCTAATACTTTATTTCGTGCTCAGCGAGAACTCAAGATGGTTCGACGTATCGTTATCCTTGTCATTGGTGTTGTTACACTTGGTTTTCCTTATGTACTGTTTACGTTTATATCATTTTTCACTACTCCACCAAAATATCATTTTCGTATTGCTTATATATTTGCTGATGCATCAATGGCATATGTAATGATTGCTCTATTTCAATTTACAGACCCATTAAAAGAGTATGTAAAGAAAATAATTCATGGAAGATCAAACGCCGTAATACCAACGATGACGTAAATAGTTAAAACTTAATTTTTGATGTCGTTTCGTATACATTTTATAGTTTGTCAGACATCGTGTTACCTATCATTTCGTGGTATAATAAAAGCCTTAACGAATTTCAAGTAATGTTATTTCTTTTAGTAGTTATTAATTCTGTTGTAAAACGAAAATATAATCCATCTGATCATACTTGTCGAATTTAAAAGACTAAAATTTATTTGTCTTCTCTTCGTTTATTAATTCAAGATTTCTCTGAAAATAATTGCATTGATAGAATACTGATTTTTATACAGGTAATTTTCAAAGAGTTTAAATGACTCTTCAGATGTCAACGAAACGGATTCTTATAAAATCATGTTCTAATTAATGAAACTATGTTAAAGTTCAACATCCTAAGTTTGATACGAGAAAATAACGACATAGTTTAAGATTATTTTAGACACTTTGGAATAAGGGGATCTTCTTCTGTAGAAAACTTGATACTGCCGTCTTGAGTCTACTCTCTTTTTCGAAATAGTTAAATATCATTTGAGAAATTTCGTCTTTTTGTTTTTATTTTCATACTATATTATTTATTCATTTTATAATTATAAATTAGTTGCATCAGTATTCTAATACTTTACATCTTGCTAGAAAAGATTTAATTCCACATGATCTCATGTTGGTTTGTCATTTTTGTTGATGAGTACGAAAGAATATTAGTTTTATCTTCTTTGATGATGGCAAGTCTTTTATTATAATTCTGATATAAACTTTATTTTGTATTCAAGTTAAAGCCCTCTCCCCACTCATTTAGTCATATACTGATAAAAAAACATTGCCACCAACAACTTACGAAACCACTCATGTACCAAATCGAATATCTTTAATGTTTTTGTTTTACAACAATAATGGCAACAAACGTTTGGAAAAATAGTACATCTCAATAAAAAATACACAATTTTATCAAACTTTTCTTTATTGAAACAATTTATAACATAGGAAAATATTGACAAAGATTTTCTGAATGAAGTGAGTGATTTAGATAAAGATGTTTTACTCTACTAGAGTTAAAATATGTTGTATCAATGGTAAAATTGTTTGTTATCATTATTAGTGATTCACATTTGATGTTAAGGTTAAATAAATAAGGTAGATAAGTTATTTTCTTCAAGAGAAATTGTTCAGCATAATCTTCATGTGCCGATTGTAGATTAAGACGTTTAAGATAAGGAAACATAGTTAGTTCAGTAGATGAATAGTGTTTATATTTTTGTGGTTTATCATTATCTATACGTAATGTTTCGATAAAAGGTATATCATGAGAGATAATTTGAAAAAAATTATGTTCAAAAGGAAATATATCAATAACTTCCAAATGTCGAACTGTATGAAACGTACCTCCTGGAAAAGAATTATTAATTTCAAGTAAATATTCGAATTGATATGGAAGTGAATAAATATGACATTTTGATCGAAAACATGATTTAGTATTGATATATGAATCAATTTGTTTATATATGTCTTTTCCAATGAAACTACGTTGAATATCTTCATTTGATGAAAAGTTAATATCAGTGTAACATCGATAGGTACGTGTCTGAATGTTAAATGTAAATTGATTTAATTTATTCATATGACAAAGAAGTTCATTATATAATTGAATACCATCAATATAATTTGCATCATATACGTCTATTAATAAATATAACTTTAATTCTTCAAGATTTATCATTCGACGAATAAATGGAAAAACTTGAGTGTCATGTTTATCTGTGTAATCAGGTGAAATAAACGACAAATATTTTAATTTGGGGAGTTTTTTCTAGAAAGAATATTAACATTGAAAATATCGTGAGAATTAATTTATAAAAATGATAATTGAAATTGAATACATACTGTATTATCTATGTGTTCTATTGAAGAAAAAAATCACTTTCACATGAACAATTAATGTTGTTAAACATTCGAAATCTCCATTAAGAAGAAACAAGCAGTCAGCAAATGTTGCAAGATTAATTTTTAATTTAGTTAAAGTTGAAGACGTTAAACTTGTTCTTGTTAAACGAGAAATATAATTCCAATGTTTTCGTTCAAAAAATAAATCACAAAAATTTAATTCAGTTAATTTTTTACATAAAGATAAAATTAATACAAAAATTTTTCTTGTAATTTCAGTCAATTCTCTATTTGCATTCTTTATATCAATATTAAGATGTGTTATTTGTTCACTGAGCAAATCACGAAGAACAGAATCATCTACAATTTAAAAGAAAAACAAACATAAGTATTAACTTACATTAAATTAATTGATTATTTTATTAATTGAATACGTTACCTGTTAAATATTGATCAAGTATTTTTCCTTCAAAATTAATGAGTGATAATGAATATAGTTGAGGATAATCAGTAGCATGAAGAATACGTTTTATTGAATATTGTTCAATAGTAAGTGCATTTATTTGATCATAAATTCGACATAAGATTTGATCACATATTCTTGAAAGAATTTTATCATCTATTGAAAAGGTCTGATCATATACCGATTCAAAAGTTCTAATAGTCATATCAAGATTACGAATAGTAAGAGGATCAAGTACTAATTGATCAAGTCGTTGATTAACATTCACAAGTGAATATAGAACATCAACTATATTCATTTTATTACAAATAATAAGTAAAAGTTCATCAGGTAAATCGAGTATATTCAAGCATTTGTTCATCTTTAATTCATACAATGTACTCATATCAATCTATATATATATTTGTCTTTTCTTCTTCCTGCCTTATATGAGAACAATGAAGGGTCAACGAATATTGACGATGTCATGTTACTTTATAATCAATAGACAATGGCATTTTTCTTTCTATCTAATATTTTTCGGTTATAACTTCTTAGATCCTAAACAGACTGAAAAAATTAAATTAAGAGACTTCATAAACTTCAATAGATTTCTCAAGACTTCATGCATGAAGTCTCTGTTGTTTTCCCCTCGATATATCGTAAGATAGTAACGCAAGATCTTGAAAGTCTAGAGGATCAGTAGACAAGATCTAATTATCTATGCCAAAGATCAGAAAGAGACCTAATATATCTCGTAATAGGATGTTCCACTAAGGCTCTAAACTTGGCGAAGCCGGATCAGTTCTGAGGATGTGATAGTTCAAATGCACATCTTATTAATTTTCAACAAAAGTAAATAAATTTGTATAATTTATTTTATCTATATATATATAAAGATGACTATTTGTTTGTTGGCTATGCATTCAGTCCCTGTAATAGCTACGATTACCAAACTTTCCACGACGCTTCCTTAGATTCCAAGGGAGATCGAGGGGGGCGTGCGGGAAATTTCACCCAGGTGGTTCTGTGATAGGTAACATCACCTGAAGATATTAACATAGCTGTTTTTCAATATAACGATTAAAACCATCATTAGAAATAGTATATTCTCTGCACTCAATTTTTTTATTTAAACGAATATATGATAAGATGTTTTATGTTTTAAATTCGAAGTAAATATTAATATTTAAATATTGATTTTGTAATATATTTTTATATTTAGGAAAACAAATTAAAAGAAATTAGTGAATATTTAACAAATTCGATAGAAAAAAATCAAAAAACTATTAAATTAGCAACGACACAAGATGATATAGGGAAGCATCTCAAAGAAGAAAATATCCTGTTGAATGAAGAAAAAAAATTTTATGACCTTTTTAATTATTTACAGAAAGTGGCATTTATTCAAACAATTATTCCACGTAAAATAACAAGCTATACACTCATACATTCTCTTCACTTTACTTTTCGATTTTTATCGTATATGGATTGTTTTTAATATTTTAGATTTTAATAAATTCTCCATGATGTCGGCGACAAAGCGAAAATTCTTGCTAATCATCAATCCAAATATAAATGTAAATAAAAAAATTTATATTATTGAAAATACATTTTATATTTAGATCGAAGATTTGAAAATGATGAGTATGTACTTAACAGACGAAGTTACTCGTGTTAATATAGCTTATGAAGTTGAAGAAGATGATGTTAAAAAACTTCAATTGGAAAAAGAGAAGGCTTTACTAAAAACAGAAACAGATTTGTTCTACGCTATTTGCAAATATCTGGAACAAGCTGAAGTGATTAAAAATAACTCAGCATGAACAACAACAACAAGCTGAATTTGAGAATATGGGTGTGAGTCGTTATATAGTCTTCGTATTAAAGCAGAAAGAAAAGGTTAAAGTCTTTATCGATAGAATATTCTATCAAGGGTAGTGACCATTTACGACGTCCGTAATGTTTAGAATAAACACCCCAATGAAAAATGTCCGATTATAATCAGATTATTTTGCAACAAAATCAAGATTAAAATTGATTATAATTTTGAGTTTTGCAAAAAATCGTTCATAATTTGATTAAAATCCGATTTTTCATCAGATTACAAACGATTTTTTGCAAAACTCAAAATTATAATCAATTTTAATCTTGATTTTGTTGCAAAATAATCTGATTATAATCGAACATTTTTCACTGGGACACATATAATTTTATGTTTTTTAATTTAGATTTAATAAAACCAATGGCAACACGTTCAAAACGAAAATTCGTAGAAATAATGTTGAATGAATTCGTGAACGTAAGTAAAAAAATTTATTTAATTAATATTAAAAATGCATTGTATTTAGATACAAGAATTAGCAACTTTATCCAAATTCTATGTCGAAGAACCAAAGCGATTAAAAGAAGCGTGTGATAAAGCAGATAGTGATGACAAAATTAAACTGAAGGAAGAAAAAGCATTAAGTAAAGAAGAAGCAGAACTTTTTGGGCGTATTTATGAATATTTTGAGAAAACTGGCGTGATCAAAATGCTCCAGGACCAACAACAAGCTGAATTTGAAGGTGTGGGTGTGAGTCTGGATGTTTTCCTTATCCACACCCACACCCTCAACTTACCAAGAGATTTCATTACTTTAATGTTAAGTTCTAAATTCAAAGTAAATAGAAATGTTCAAATTTTATTTTTCAAAAATATTTTTCTATTACGGCTGACAATTTAAAGAATATTAGTGTATATTCAATCGATCAATTGAAAAAAGTCGATGAACTTCTAAAATTAAAAGACGAATCTTGAGGGTAACTGTGGGTGTGTTAACGAAGAAGGAACACCCACACCCACACCCTCAACTTATTTTATTATTGACGATACATTGTTGTTAAAGATGCTATTGATAATCACTTCTAGCATTATGATTTAACCAAAATATTTTTTCGTGTCTCATAAAACCTATTATATTATTCAATTATATATTTTCTAAAATAAAAAGCATACAAGAGATTTAACGGAAATGAATACATGTTGATCTTACTATTCTCTATCCTAATTCTTGTTATAGTAATTTACTTTAGTTTGAAGCTACTAATTTCTTTGATGAAATGTATATGCTAATTATGTAGATTATTTGATACACAATTTGTCTCTAACAATAATAATAAATATATTTCTTTCAACATAATTTAATTTCTATTTTATCGAGAACAATCTTTTTTTTGATGAGAACCAATTGAAAAAATTATTTCATCTAATATTTAGGTACAAAAAGTAAAAGTCTTAACCAACTAGTTCATTTTCTTTCCGATCGATGTGATCAATGATTAATGATAAGATGGGGAAAAAATAATTGAAATCATTTATTTAATCTTGAGAATTTGAGTGAGAAATAAAGGTGAGTAAGATATAAATACAATACGCACACCTATCCCTTTTGAAACTGTATTTTAGTAGTTTTGATCAAAGGTATTCTATTTCACTTGAACTCTCACTCATCCACACACACTCTCACAACCTCGATTGTTTTGAGTGTAATACAGGCCTCGTACAAGACATATAAAAAGAAAGAAAAAATAATGATAAAAACTAATAGAATGAAACTTTCTTCGTCAAAAAAATGTCCAAAGACAAAAATACGACGTGTTTACTTAAAAATAAAAAGCACAATCGCACACTACCACGTGTGGATACACTATTTTCTTTTTTTCTGAATTGTTAAAAGAAACATTAAAATAAGTCTATTCTTATCGTTCGCCGTCTGCGTATATAACGATGGCATGTATTTCAGGTAAGCAAACAGGCAGACGTGGAAAGATGAACATTCTCTGCGTAAAAATATAGTTTTTTTTAATATTTATCTGATCACATAAATTATATAATTCAATACATCTGCGGGAACAGTATACTATCTATGCAAACATAAAATAAATGGACTTTTTGAATCCATATCCTTCACAGAATGCAAACTCATTCACACATAATCCGGTATTAATAGTCAATAAGTGCTTGAAATTATCAAAGCTCTTCAAAGAGGATTTAACAAAAAAATGATAAGTTACATTCTATACCTAGATTAATTTGATTAGCATATTTACCATACCGAAAAGATGTCTTCTCCTGTTCGTGATGGTTCCAATACTTCAAGGTAGATCAAGTTGAACAGACCATTCTTTTCATATTTCAATAAAATATTTTCCATCTTAGAGTGCCATCCGACATACATATTGTTGTTGATAATTCAAATCTTTTCATTGGTGCTCAATTGGGTCAAGGTATAGATGGACAACAAGATGCTGCTATTCGTATTAACGTTGCAAATCTAGCCAATATTATTGAGAAAGACAAAAAAAAGCTGAATATTAAGACAAGAATCGTTGGTGGTAGTATTCCGCCTCGTAAAGCACGAGCTTGGACTGAGTGGGAAAAATGCAACTATGCATGTTTACTAGGTGATCGATCAATGAATAATAAAGTAAGAAAAATTGTTTTTTTTCTCAATCTTCTGTAAACAGATACATCTTTTAAGTACGTTATATTGTCGTGCTTTTGTAATTTTAGGAAGTGTTCTTAGACGATATGTTGCATGCACAAATACAAAAATTAATTTTAAAAAATAATCCGAAAAAAAAGCACGCAGAACAAAATTTGATATTAATTAGCGGTGATGGAAATGGAAATGATAATCGTACAAGTTTTCCTGAGGTTGTATTGTCAGCATTAGAACATGGATGGATGGTGGAAGTATGGTCATGGCAAGCATCTTTGAGTGCTAAATTTAAAGATCTTCAAGAAAAATATCCTTCTAAAATGGAAATTAAATATTTCGATACTTATAGATCAAAAGTTACTTTTAAAGAAAAACAAAAACAACAGCCGCAGCAGCAACCGCAGCAGCAGCAACAGCAGCAGCAGCAACCGCAGCAGCAGCAACAGCAGCAGCAGCAAC